ACACCCTAACACTGAAGTACGAGCAAGAATGCAAGACAGAGAGACACAGACACCAGCCTGAATCTATTCCAAAGCTTACATTGCTACAGGGGTGTGGCATGCGAGCGAGGTAAGCCTCTGTCATGCACTTTAAGCAGCGAAAATGGTGATAAGTTTGCTCATGAATCACTCTACCCTGAAACAGAAAGAGATTGTACAAACCAGGAAACACGGACCCCTTCACCCTCGAATTAGTGTGCGGCTCTGAACAGACAGCGAGCGCGCGGCGCATTCCAGACGGCTTTATTGCACTCGAGAGCAGCATATCTACGTTTTTTACTTTGTCATTCCAAGTGATGCTGATGTTAGAACTATGTGAGTCATAGAGCAGTAAAAGTGTCAAATACATATCATCATAATGTTAAAAACTTTTCTATTGCTTGGCCAAGAGCGTAACCGCAAAAAGTGGCAGACAGCTGAATTTAACTCCAGAGCAAAAACAGGTACCTGGATGATGTCATTGTTCATGATATGTGATATATGTCATCACTCAATATAGCATTTTGCTCTAATAGTTGAATTCTGTCGGAAGTTGAAAAAACAGTTCGACAAACTGATGCCCTTCCCCCGCCCCCCCCCACCTCCATTTGAAGTTGAATCAGCTATTCAATGTCTAGTAGTGTTGACTTCACTACGTAGCTTGGCCACATTTTTTCTTTTTTTTTTCTTCTGTGATATGGTTCACCTTCGACAGAGCAAAGCGCGTGCGAACGGTGCTCTTATATGGTTTTGGCGCAACAGGAAACTTTACAGAATGTAAGCCACACTCCAGTTTTGTACAAAATTAATCATAAAGAATGCCTGCTCCATGGAAATTTTTCAAAAGGTGGACCATTCAGTTCGAAATCTAGTACAAAACCAAAATACGAGAACTTAGAATCAAAAAACTTGACGTAGCCATTTTCTAAAATTTTTGATACATCACAACATTCATAAATTCACGTCTTGATGGTCGGTTTGAACCCTTCACTGAAGGATATTCGTAGCCATTGTCCTGGTTCTTGGTGTGTCGTCCGACCACAGTTTTATTGCTGCACTTCCAGTTAGAGCAGAACAAGAAAAGAGTTACATACAGGTGGAGGAGGGGCCAAAAGAAATTTTGCCCATGTCGCACTTCAGCGATTCCATCGTCGCAAAGATTGCGTTGTTAGCGGAAGTAATACAGCAG